TTTCCAACTGAGAGGGATCTTTAACGTGCACAGCCTGTAGCACACGGGGCCTCGGTTTATTGTCCCATCCAAACATATAGACGCCTTTTTCCATGTCAGCCCCTCGTACCTGCATCACTGACAGGGGGAAACCGGGTTGAAAAATCAGAAGGTATTATCTCGACGTATGCCGGGATTGAACCCTGGACCCTCAGGTTAGCGAGCAAGCGTCTAACTCACTGAGCCACAGCAACTCCCCATACTGCATCAGAAAAGGGTATCTGCCTTAATATTCATTAAGACTTTATATTGTCAAAACCAAACATTGTCAAGACTGAAGTCTATTTATGAAGTGGGAAAGTTACAGCAAATTGAATCAAAGTGAAAATTTCCAAGAACTGAGATAAAATGGTGCAATTAAACTAAGATCAGTTCAAATCTGTAAGGTCTGAATCCGCCAGTTTCCAGATAATTGCTTTAAATAGCAAAATAACTACTCTTTAATGATTTCTTAAGTGTAATTTACCAGTTTTTTCGTGACAGCACAATAACTGATAGTCTACAAGACGTCTATGTTTTTAGTAAAATCAATATTTGAACAATGAATACATGCTTTAAAACTAGCATAATAGTGGCTGGTGACTCAAACCTTATCGTTTCCTGATATCAACACTATTAGAAAATCTTTTATTATTTCATGTTTCATAAAACTACGGTTTAGAACAATAACAAACTACAAAGCTTTTGTAGTATAATGTATAAAGTTTAAGAAAAATATGAGATCAATATTGGTCACAAAAGGATAAATCTTTGAAAAGACTGAGAATATTCTTGTACAAAGATTTTTTTCAAATCAGACATCTACCCCAGAGAACTATGTATTCTTTACAATGCATTCTTTTACAGAGACTTAAACTATAGCTAATTGTGAAGTCCTTATGTGATAAAGCATATTTTGCAATTAGTGAGGTCACCAAACATTTAAGTTCGGCCCATGCATGAGCCATTTGGCTCAGCGATATGGTTTCACCGTAGACGATGCAACTTTGGATGGATCAACAGAAAAGCATTTCAAAAAAGTGGACAGTAACATTGACAAAGCAGATGATAAAGTTAAAACTATTAAAAGCTCATTTATCTTGCTGTTGAGATGTCAGCATCGACAATGCAGAACAATTTGTAGAAACACCTGGGTAAGAAATTGGATCCAGAGAAGACAGAATTTTGTTTACTGCTTTGGATGCCATTTTTAACAGTGGTAAATATCATGACAGTTTAAACGCACCAGACTTTAGTTTTAGTGGAATTGCAGAAACCACAGACGTCTGGTTTACAATCCATTTAATTATACCAAATGTATGAGGACTGCTGAAGGGTACTGAATTAACAATTGCAGAGTGGCATTATGTGTTCAAAGATAGCTTGCAAGGCAAGGTAACATACGCCAACTGGCAGCTGTCAGAGATGATAAAACAGTCTTTAGTGACTAAAGTATGTATTTTCTCATACTAAAGAAATTTTCATAGCTTGAATTAAATGATATATATATTTACTGCCAGTTATTTATCCTGAGAAATACCACAAAATTTTTAAAATTCAATATCAATAACCCAAATACATCAATAATCGCATCAATATACATGATCACACCATGTTTCATTAAAATAAATTGAAAACCGTAGTCTCTAATGTATTCACAAACAAATTTTGACACATTTTTCTTAAGTCAAGCGCATAGACTCAAAAACCGTCAAATTCGAACTTGACCAAGATCTCATCAATATAAATGAAATGATTTGGTTTAAAACTGTAGTCTCTATTGTGTTCACAAGAAATGTTGACGGACTGACGGACAGGCAATATATGTCCACATTTCCATGTGGAAGTATAAAAATTAAGAACGAGAATTAAACAGTCTTTGTTACATGACAAACATCAATATGAAACGGAAAGTTGTTGTGGAGTTAAGAACCGGGCCAGGTGTATTTTTAAATAATATCACGAATCTCTAACAAAAATAAACCAATTAACTTTAATTGAATCCCAGCCAAAAATATAACAATTTCAGCTCTGAATGAATGCCACTTAAAGGCGATATCCTATATAAAAAATAATGCCACCTCATGACCAATTGTTATTCCATGCACTGTATACATTGATATATAGCACATAGAAGTGTACAAAAGTAACGCTTGTTGATTTAAACTAAAATCCATTTGATTTGTAAGCATCAAGAGTCTAAACAAAAGACAATACATTAATTGAAATATATGTGATAGGGGGGGAAATAGTAGTCTGATAATCAGGATCTAGTTTTAAGTTGTTGATCTTGTATATTATCAATTAATAGCCAAAATATTGACTATTACAGACAACCAGTAGCGATTTAGGGGGAGGGTCATACTTTGAAGTAAAAATAAAAGGCTCTCAAACTGCTCAAATTCATTTCAGGCCATCTGAAATCTGTTGGCTTCTGTTGGACATGGACATTTGGCTCCCTCCTCAGGCATTCTAGATACACCCCTTCAGACAACTATAGGCTAGTTACTTTAATTCCAAGGTTTCCCTGACCTGATTGAGATAATAGACCAACATTTGATATAATCTTTAAAAGAAAAATTCCATCCCGAAATATCTTGTTAACCAATCTACATTACACACCATGTCTAGGAATCTTAAACTTGTGGTGAATAACAAATGTATGTACATAAATGTTTTATAAAACCAGCATTATCTAACAAAGTTATTATGTTTTGGGTGGGGAATATAGAAAAGAGAAATTAAGTTTTATGGTCTATGAACCACAAAGTTTTATTGTTTGAATTTGACTGAATAGTTTACTAATATGCGCTTTTTTAAGACAAAAAATGGAGGTTACAAGCTTTTGTTAGAACTGGTTTACCAGCTTGAAGACCATAGGCAACCTTCCCAAAATATTTTTTTTTTCTATTCAGATTTCATATTTAAAATAATACAAGGGTTTTGTTTGTATAAACTTCTTACAGTGTAGGATTGAATGTTTCAAGATTGATTTCAGAATCAGAAATCAGAAACTAGAGGAAATTAAAACCTTAACTATGTTACTTCTGGCTTCAGTCAATATATATCATATGATGTTCGTAGATTATTATATTAGTATTTTGCGCAAAATTGCAAGAAATTGAAATATACAAGATGTCATCAAAATTATAGTTTCACTTTGAAATCCATTATTTATGCCAAATTTAGCCACATTCAGCAGGAGAATGCCTTATCAAGTCAAATATTGGTAATGGGGTAAATTCTATATCTTATTAATATTTCACCTGCAACGTTAAGAATATTGATTGAAGAAGTTAATCAAAATAACCTTTGAATTGATTGCTTGAATGTTGACTTTATTTGCCCGTAAATCGTTTTGAAAGGCATTATAGAAATCTGATAATAAGTCAATAATACATTAATTAAAACATCAGGTAGAAAACAAGGAAAAAGTCTCAATATTTAATTAATACTTTGAGTATTTTGTGTGAAAATGAAGAAGTGTATCGTTAATCAATATCCTAATAGATTATTATCCAACCTGACAATACCTTACTAATGACAAATCTCAATACATGCTAATTCCTCTGTAGTATTCACATTGCAATTCATGTCAGATTATAGATTATTCAATCAATCAAATAAAACTTGGCTTAATCAGTAAACATACAAGAATACTGTAAACTTATTTATCATTTCAAAATCTGATCAATGCTGATCAGTACCAGGTAAAATAGACATTTTAACATTGTACATTACTAAGGCTTAACAGTCCATGATCTGTACTTGTTGGAAACTAGACATTCTGCAACATTCAATAAATATAAAAAAAAAAGTATAACCAATGAAACATTTTTACAAATCAAAATCTAGACATTTATGAAAGGTTAAACTATTAAATACCGAGATTTACAATAAATATATCAACCATTATTAGCTGATGTTTCTCATAAAGGCATGACAAACCCAGTCATTGATTGTTATTAGGTTTTCTGGACGGATGAACTTGCCTTGTTCCAAGTACATCTTTAAAGAATTCTGGAACGTTTTAATGGAATTCAAACACTCAAAACCTTTTAATTCATCAAATGGAACCTCTTACTAAACTTTCTGTTTCTATGAATCTTACATTTGAGCTTCATAAACAGCACGTTTTATTATATCTATTAAGGAGTTTCTCATAGAAATAAACAGTATGTGATGAAATATCAATGATCTAAAGTGAATTTGCATGTATTTTATTTGAATAAATACATTATATTGTCTCATAAATCAATTGCATAATATACAATAAATTATTTGTCTTTACTGTGGCAATACAAACCGATCCACTGGTAAAATTATTTCTGTGTACTGGTGTACTGTGTAGTCATCAGAATAAATAGGTTTACACTTGAACACTTCATTTTGTGTTGCAATTAGAGTTGCTACTGTTATTGTAGCATTTTTTTAAAACAATAACTCAGCTTTGGAATACAATCAGTAGGGTGGTTTATTGAATGAACGTACCAGAACATACCAGACATATGGCCACCACAATTAAATGAAATTTGACATAAAATAAATATCTCTTCACATAAATAGGCAACATGAATCAGAATGAAAATTTAGTCACAATTTAGCAAGGTCGACAATTATTTGCATCTTTGTTAGTTTCTAAGTCTTCAGATCTTTAACAAATTCAGAGAGCATTAAAAAATATTTTGGTTTTAAAATTAATGCCGTTGGTCACAAATGATAAAAGTGTTGTGATGGAAAACATAGAATTTCACAAACTTTTTCTCATTAATTTGTTCATAGATGATTTCATTGATTATTGTTGTAGGCTGTATTTAGAACTTTATATTTATAATTTTATCCAAATATATTTGTAGTCTTAATTTTAGATCTATATTGTAACTTTATTTAGTGGTGCTTTTTTTGTTACTGTTCTAAATATATTTCATCAGTTTATCCTATAATTTTCACTACTTATTTTATTTCAATATTAACTCTTGTCAGCTCGTATGTGTGGAGATGTGAGATGTAAAGTCGGAAGACGCTGTGCCACAAGATACGATGGAGAGAAGACATGTGTCTGTCGGGAAACTTGTAAATCAAACCAACATCTAATATGTGGAAGCGATGGAAAAACATACACCAACTATTGTCACCTACATCGCTCATCTTGCCTTGAAGACAAACATGTGACTGTGTTACATCAAGGACCCTGTCTTAGTATGATTTATAGTTTTCTCTCCCTCACAAATTTATTTTTTTCTCCCCCTCAATTTTCTTTTTTCTCTATTTCTGTTCAAAGTTTTTAATGAGGCTTTTTTTGTAAACATCATGTCTATTTTAGTTCTAAATGTAGCTTGTGTATTTCCCTTGAAGCAATTATTTGTAATTTTTTGTTGTGAAAGCTTTATAAGTGTTCTGAATATTATGAAAAATATTGTTTGCCGAAAGCACAAATTTTCTAATTTTTTCTAGTTGAATTTGAAGAGGTTCAGAAAGCAGTAGAAAGAAAATCAGCAGGAGTTACCAGACCACTGGTTTGTTATCAGATACAGCGAGATGAACTTCGACAACTACTTGTTGATTGGTTAAAGACAGAGGTCACTAAAGGTCCGAACAGACATAACTTTGAAAATTGAAATTAAACTTTCTCCATCCACTTTCTGATGGAGATAACAGGCTTGCTCCTTAACACTTTGCACTCCATATTCAGTGTATTCTCATTGACAATAGCCTTAAACAGAATAGTCAAAGAGCATATTGAGTCCAGAATTCATAGCATGATCATACAAATTCCTACAAGAAACGATTCACCGATGAATTGCGATTCTTTCCATCTTATTGATGCATAATAATGGATAAAATAATCGTGATGTATTGGCACTATTAATTCTTAGCCCCCTTTAATAATAAATGACACAGAAACCTTGTGTGTAAAAGAAATTGTTTTCGTTTTCCAGGTATGATTTTCAGGTCAAAATTTGCAAAAATACATTTCTGACTTTAAAAATTGAGATTTTTTCACAATTCCTCACTTCTAAACGTTCTCAAGTGCTTAATAGTGGCAAACTTGTTAGTAATTTTACAAATGTCTACAATTGTTTCTCTTTCCTTCTCTAAGAAATGAATTATTGCAATAAATCTTATCGTTGGATGACTATCGTAGTGTATCGAATCGAGACTTCAAGAATCGTTGCAGCCCTAGCAATTTCAGTCAGGTTCTTAACAAAATCCTTTCTATAAATTGTCCAAATGCCTACTAAAGACCAATTAGTTGAAAACTGAATTTACCAATGAAGACAAAAACAACAATTTGAGAATTTATGTTGGAGTCTGCTTTACAAGTTATTACAGTATGTGGTCTTACTCTTTCAGATAAATCCTATTCTGATATTGTCCATGAAACATTCAGTAAATGTGATGTTGATAAGGATGGTAGCTTAGATGGTGATGAACTATTGAAATGTACTGAAAAGAAGCCAGCTCAGTTAGACTCAAACTTGCATATTTTAAGGTAGACCTTGATTTTCTATGTTAGAGAGCACTAATTTAACCCTGTGCCAGTGTCTGCTGTTGAACTTTATACCTTTCAAAGGACACAACGGACTGATGTGTTCCTTGAAATTTACTTTGAGGACTTGACATGTACCATAATGAACTACCTTAATGAACAAGAAACACCTAAATACGAACATTTCATGTTTTCATCACAATGGTATGTCATCATATTTTAATAAAAGTTTGCATAGGACTATGTTTTGGTTTTCATCTTCTAAGTTTATGTGTGATATTTAGCAGCAATGACAGGTGAAAGGGTATGCTTACTCTTCTAGACACCAAAGTATGAGCTCAACAGGGCATGTCTAAATATTTCAGAGGTTTATGTATGGATGCTTTAATTAATATGGGAGATGGGGATGATAATTGGGTTCTAAATGAAGAAGAATTCATCAAAATACTTAGTCTACATTTCACACCACCCACAAGAGGTAAAGAGCTTCTGGGATTGCAGTCAGAAATAAATACATTTTTTCCAACAAATTGTGTATATTTAAGTGATTCTCTCTGGTAATATTGCTGGCCAGAAACTAAATTATTCATAAGTTGGACTTACCAGTTGCCATGATTAAAGAATAGATATATAAGACATACATCCATTAAACTAAGTAATTATTGAAAAACCACTTCTAAGCACGTTTCAAAATTACTTGGTTAAATGGATTATTACTTAGTTTTTATGATTTAATGGATTACACATGTACCGGTATATGTAAATCCACTGATGAAAAAGATTCAAGTTTAAAAATCTAAAAGGCATTGTACAAAAAACGGTAAAAATTTTGTAAATTAATATAATATGAGACTTCAAGAGATATGATCTGATATGGTGATTTGAAATATATACATAATTAGTTGAAACTTGAATCTTCATCCTATATGATCATATTTCTTTTTGTGTATTTCTAGAATGCCAATTAGAAGACAAGAACTATAAAGATGGAGCTGAAACCAAATTAGACTGTAATTTGTGGTTAGTTTTTGTTTATCATTTTTCTTATAACAATTGAGATAAGACTTCATAAGTAAATGGTTGGAAGCAATATTGTTAAAAAAACAATTTAAACATAGTCTTGCGGCAAGTTTCGCAAGCGAATACGCTACCCAGCAACTTGATAATTAGCTAAATGTGAACTGTAAAACAAACTCTATATAGTAGCCTGAAAAAACGTGATAGAGTTTTATGCGATATTTCTCAAGAAAATCATCGGATCCTCACCAAATCCAATAGTGCACATCTTCATAATGATATTGACACAAATACAAACAATCAAAAGAATCCTTGGAGAATTTTAGTCTTTAGGGTGGGCACGAGCAAAAAACAGTGAAAAAAACGAACGCGATATCAGAGTTTTATGCGATATCTCTAAAGAAAATCATTGGATCATCACCAAATTGAATAGTGCACATCTTCATAATGATATTGACACACATACAAAAGATCAAAAGAATCTACAGAGAATTGTAGTCTGTAGAGTGAGCACGAGGTAAATGTGACAGGGGCAACCACAATATACACCCATACTTACGTGTCGGCGTATAAAAAGGATGATGTTGTGTTAAGTTTCCCTTCAATCGCTGACATGAGCTAACTTAAAAAGATAATGGTCGATCTCACAGCATTTAAGTTGTCTTGGGTGTTTTTAGCATTCTGCCCTGCAGATATTGTCGATCTATTATGACATTTGCACGAGCTTAGAGTGAAGTCAAATATCTAATAAAGAAAAAATTCAGATCATCTTGTCCCTTTAAGACAAATTATGATTTAATATGGAAAACATTCATTTTTTATTATTTCCTTCTGCCTGTCATTTATATTTTAATGGAAGAGAAAATTAATCTCAGTTAATTGCTGCCTGCAGATAAATTTCCTTGTGATCAGAAATATACTTATCTTGTCATTCAGATGAAAGGAAAATAAGCAATTCTTTCAAAAACTTCTCAATTTAAGATAATGGAACTTCATAACAGCAATTAAAGCTAAAGCAATGTACAATTTAAAGAGTTGCAGAGGAGGAAAATTATGTATAAAGTTTTTAACAGAATCAGGAATTTGTGTATCTTATCTGGAATGGGGCTAAAATAATCTAAATAATCAAGATTATCGACCACCAAATACATTATTGATTAAATGTCAACCTTATAAATTCTCCTGTGTACTCATGTAATAAGTCATCATCTCTTGCACATAGTTTCCCTTCAGCACATCACTTTCTACATTAAACTGTATTAAAAGATCATGCAATTATACTCCATTATACAAAAATAACCCACGGAATTAAAAAAGATAGCTTGCGAGGCAAGTAACATACGCCCACTGGCAGCTGTCAGAAATGATAAAACAGTCTTTAGTGACTAAAGTACAAATTTTCTCATATTGAAGAAATTTTATTAGTTTGAATTCAATTACATATATATATGCCAGTTATTTATGCTGAGTAATTCCCACAAAATTTTTTAAAATCAATATCAATAACCCAAACACAACAAACAATTAAATCACACAGCTCTAATCAAGGGCAAAAAACAACTTTTGACGAGTGTTTACAAAGTCAAGGGCTATAACTCAAAAAAAGTTCATCAAAAATATCCCGAGTTAGAACTTGTCCAAGATCTTATCAATTCCAATGATCACACCAAGTTTCATCAAAATCGGTTGAAAACTGTAGCTTCTATAGTGCTCACAAACACATTTTGACGTGTTTTTACAAAGTCAAGGGCAGTAACTCAAAAACCGTTCAGCGAAAATGCGTCAAGTTAAAACTTGTCCGAGATCTATCAATTTCAATGATCACACCAAGTTTCATCAGAATCGGTTGAAAACTGTAGCTTCTATTGTGCTCACGAACAAACTTTGACACGTTTTAACAAAGTCAAGGGCAATAACTCAAAAACCGTTCATCGAAAATGCGTCAAGTTACAACTTGTCCGAGATCTTATGAATTCCAATGATCACACCAAATTTCATCAGAATCTGATGAAAACTGTAGCTTCAATCCTGTTCACGAACAATTTTTAACAAATTTCAAGGCGTTCTAAGTCAAGGGCAATATCTCAGAAACGGTTCATCGAAAATATGTCAAATTCAAACTTGACCGAGATCTTATCAATCTAAAGCATCACACAAACTTTTATCAAAATCAGATAAAAACTGTAGTCTTTATAGTGCTCACAAGAAATGTTGACAGACAGACCGACGGACAGGGGCGACGACAATATACGACCACATATTCGATTACTAATCAATTTTTTATCAGTTGCATGCAGTCTAAAATCTTATCTCAAAATGGTAATCAATACCCAGCCCAAATTTTGGAATCCTCTCTAATTTGTTATTAAAATTTAGGTATAAGCTCACAGATAAGGCAGAAAATATATATATATAAGTTTGTGTAAAATCAATTTCAGTGTGTGTGCATGTGGAAACTGGGTATGTACAGGAGCTCCATGTTACAGAGGAAAAGAAATGGGTGTTCCAGGTAATCCACATTTCCCAGTAATTCAGTCTACCAATGAAAAGTGTTCCATGTTTTTCATAGCATACTTCATACAAATATAAATTTACTGAAAAATATTATGTAAAATTTCAAAACTGTTGTACCATAAAGATAGAAAAAGGAATTTATAGGATTTGACAAGAGATGAACAAAACCAAGATACATTTTTCTACCCTTGATTCTGGTAACACTTAGTTAAGGGTAATGTTATAAAGACAGTAGCCTATTGTCAAGGGTTCTGTTCATAGTCTGTGGTTGCTTTTTTTGTAGAATATCCCTCCGACAATATTCTCAGAACGTGGAAAAATTTCACAGGACTATTTAAATGAATTTCAGACACCATAATTCCGTGTCTAAATAGCAAGGACAAATCTGTGTTTGTTTTTTGCAGGCCCAGTTGTAGAAGGTACTTTACCAAATAAGGAGGAGACAGAAGAGTTACTGAAAGGATTCCAGGCTGTGAATAAGGTCAGACTGTCAGATGTAGAGGATGAGATGAAAGATGGTGAAATTAAAGAGGAGATTGTTGAAGAATTGAAAAATATGGAGACCCATCATCGACATGAAGATGCCAATATGTGAAGTAACAATTCACAAGATAAAACCAAATACTTTGTTCACACAGGATAAACTGTTTTCAGGCCAACAAATTTTTATCTCATTGACTATATGTATGTAAATACGGTTGAAGTTATTACTGTTAATGAGTTGAAGCAAACTTTATAAACTAGCCTAGCACACAATGTGAAATTCCAAAACCAAAAGAGAAGCACTGTTTGTAAAAGGAGATCAACAAACCTGAACCACACTTACAGAAGACCTTGCTGTGCATTTAAATATAGGTGCCAATTCTTGATGTTTTTTAACATAAATATAAGGGCCAGTTATGATGCTTGACATACTTATATTTCACAAAATAATAATCTATATATATTTAGAAGCTTTTATTCCAATTTTTTTTTATATACATTTACCTTCGTCAAATCAGGTCAATCAAGAGCTTAAGAAAGATTTTAAAATATGCAGTGCAGCCATGCATAGTTAAGATCATTTTTTTCACAACCCTGCATTTTGGTCTTAGAACTTCTTGAAACAATATTTTACAAAATGAGTTTTTCAAAATGGGTAATTTTTCTACTTAATGCATTTATATTTAATTTAAACCTCCAGCTTTTTTAACTTTAAATATATTTTACTTGTTGTTATATACTTTGAAATATTGCAATTTTATGCTGATTGAAATAGACAAATCAAATTATGAAGCATTTCCTATAGATTTTTTAAATCCACAGTTTAGATGTAAATCATTCTTATTTACACGTGTTAGTTTATATCATAGTTCTGAATAGAAGATATTGGACATTTATTCTAATATAGAAAATTTAGATGTATTTATTTATTGCATTCATAATATAATTACAATTAAATTTTGTCGTTTTTTCTATTTGTTAATCCTTTTTTATCAACATTCAGGAAGAGGGTGTAGTTGTTACAGTTTCATGATGGTGTAAATCTGGCATGAACAACAATTAGGAGCTATACCCAACTAATAGCCTACTAAACCTCATTTCATTGAATTATGGGTTTTTTTCTGAACCTTAAGTCGAGAAATCCAGGAATTTCATGTAACTTGACTCACACCTTTTCCACTAATTGAAAAGGTTCTCAATTATTTATATTAAATATAGTTTCCCAGGAGTAACATATACCCACTACTGGCTGTCAGAAATAGTAACAAAATCTTTAATAGCTTAATAATGAATTTTCAAATAATATTAATAAAATCATCTATAATTCAAGACAAAAACCTCAAACTGTTCATCAAATTATCCTCAATTTCAAACATGAACAATGTCTCATCGCTGTACACACAAGGCAATAACTCTGAAACCTTTCATCCGAATATTACTAATTTCTAACTTGACCAATATCTAATCAATATATACAAGCATATATCTAGTTTCATCAAGATGAGATAAAAACTGTTGTCTCTATCATGCTTGCAAGTCGAAGTCAAGGGCAATAACTCCGAAACCCTTCATCCGATGTTACCAATTACGAACTTGACTGAGTTCCCATTAATATATACATGCATACCTACTTGACTGAGTTCCCATTAATATATACATGCATACCTAGTTTCATCTAGGTTGGATAAAAACTGTAAACTCTATCGTGCCTACAATTTGTTACTATGTCAAGGACAATAACCAATTATCCAATTATTATCAATTGCAGATCTGACTGATATCTCATCAATATATACATGCATACCAAGTTTCATCAAGATCGGATAAAAACTGTAGTCTCTACCATGCCTACAAGGCAAATTTGACGCATTTTACTAAAGAAAGGACAATAACTCTGAAACAGTTCATTCGATTATTACCAATTTCAAACTTGACCCAGATCTCATCAATATATACATGCATACCAAATTTCATCAAGATTGGACAAAAACAGTAGCCTCTATCGTGCCTACGGACGGATGGACGGACAGATAGGGGTGTCCGCAATATATGTCCACATTTCCATGTGGGTGTATAAAACATGATAAGTAGTTCAGATCAATACAAATTCCAACTCACCTGGAATCTTAATTTGGCTCTAAAAGAGGACTGTAGAGGCTGGCATGTAACTGCGGACTGAAATATGTAAGAAAAACAAGTTATCTCCCTTTAATAAACAATTCAAATGTAACCTACTCTTTCTAAACACTTTTCATTTTCTTTTTCTAATAGAGACCAAGTTCTTTTAAGTCTGCTGCTATTACTTTTAAATGGTTTTTCCTTTTAAAATCTGAAAAGTTCCCTTTTTGAACTTCTATTTTATTGCCTTACATCTTTTACCTTGACTGTGACTGAGACTGAGAGTGATATGTGGCCAGATTTCTAAGCCATTACCTTTTTTTTCATCGCAGTTGCTTCTCCTTTTGGATAGGCTTTGGATAATAAAAAAACCTCCACCCATGTCCATGACGTTTTCGTCGTTTTATCATCACTTTTTGTTAACAAGGCAAACATCTAACCTTATATCACTTCCATTTTAGGAAACAAGAACCTTCTGTTGAAATGACACGTTTTCGTTTTCTGTAGGACTACTTTTGAGGACACTGACGAGTACTATTCAGGTGGCCACTTACGATGATCAGCAATCAACGCACGGGATAATTTTGGCGGGTAACAATCGTCTGTTAAACAATTCCAATGCGCATGCATCGATGAGGCATTTTGGGGTGTCTGTGATATGCTCATCTGCCATACAAATCACAAATGTTCCGTTTTAAAATAACACCAAGGCTAATAAAACAGCTGAATAAATATCTGCGTTTATGAGGGATACATTCTGCAACAATGAGATTAAATGGACTTTGTATGTTTGTCCTTGTTTTTATTAGAACACAGTAGATTAAGATTGGCTGGTTTGAATCCTACTTCATAGTTGTCACTTGGTAAGACATAAAGTATCCCAATATAATACATGTATTCAAAGTCATAATTCACAACCAGATTAATTCCTGCTATGCTACCAACCCACCTTAACAGAAAATACAAATTTTCATAATATTTTTTATTCACAACAAATACAGTAAAAGGGAAATATAGGGTCAGCTAATGAAAAGTATGATGTATATGAATGACAAGAGGCCAACATTACTAATAAATAATGATAAAAAATAAATGCACTTGTTCTAAATTCTAAAAGCATGACTAGTAAACTAAACTCAACATTTAGGTAAAACCAGGTTTCTAGAGGTGGTGAAGACACTGACTTGCACTATTGTTATATAACTGCAAATTTTGCAAAAATAAGGTAAGTCAACTATTCATCTACATTCAATGACTAAGAGGACAATTTAATACTCAAATATGCAGCATACAAAATGTTACAACAAGGAAATATTCTTGTGTTCTTTGAATATCTACTCTGATGTAATGTGCTATCAATTTACTAACTGGGAGCAAGGTTTTACCATAATGATTAGATAAAATAACCCTTTTGAAAAGATATTAAAAATATGTAAGCTGTTATAAACTAAAAAAAAAAAGGCAATAGGCCTACTAAGACTAGCTTTCTGGTCTATTCAGTCTAGGCAATGGCTTAATGTTTATTACTCTGATAAAAGAGAATACAATGAACACAAAATAATGAATAGAATAAAAAAATATGACCAAGAAAGCTATACCCAACTAGAAATTGCACATTTTTGGAATTTTGAATTGGATATGTAATGAGCAATAATTCCCAATTTTGGAAAGGTATCATAGCAAATCATTATTCATTATTTAAAAATGCCTTCTTTTTCTCATCATAATTAAAAACAATTATGAATAAAGAGAGCAAATGCTCAAAAAGTTCCAAAAATATTTATTAAAATGTCTCGCAAAATCTGCATAAAGAGTGTAACCCCTATAGTCATGAACAAATGATTCAATCACATTAACAGCATTGGACAACAATTTAAGGAACAAGTTTCACCTAAAACCATTTCATAAATATTAAACAATTTCATGAAATATGAAATTGTTTTATCAAATTAAGAAGGATTAGGGATCAAATTGGGACTAAAGGGTTGAAGTAGACAAACAATATTTCAATACAGGGGTCAAAATTCAAAGGTAATATAACTTCATATTCAACACTAAGCATTTGGAATGTCTACAAATATTGAAATTTTTACATTAAAGCTCGCATGGTTCTACTTCCACAAATTTTACTTTTTGAAGCATTTATACAAATCACAAGACATAGCATTACCTTTCAACAAATACAAAACTTCAGAAAAAAATTCAAATATGTGATGTTACTTTTTCTTTCACAGATTGAGAAGAAAGCTTTTCATATAGATGGGTTTTGACTAAAGTACAATTAAAACTGATGCCTGAAAGCTTTGCTATATTGTCATTTCGATCTGTCCATGACAGTCCTTACTGGTAAAAGCCAAGTAACATCATATTTTGAAAATTAGCACATGCATGTACATGAATAACTTTTTACACCCATAATTAGGTCAAATGCTAAATTTGCATGTTAAAAGTCAAAAAAGAAAAGAGATTATTACCAAAAAACCTGATTTTAAAATCTGCATGATCCAAGAGATAATAAAAACATGATATTTACATTCAAAAGCGTTCTGATTAAAATACAATTTCTAATTTTTACATTGACAATATTGGCAATGAGTAAATAACCCTCCAAATCAGACAAATTATCTCCAACTTACTGCATTTCAATCAGAAAACTTTCAAAAACATGTAAAAACTATTCTACTTTTAAACATGGATTTTCTAGAAAATGTTTACTTCATCAACACCTAAATTTACATTTTCAGACATATATTTCTCCTATTCTAAAGATGTGCCAAGCATAAAGAGTGAGGCAATATTGAGCAAATACTGAGAAAAAACAGAAATATGGCATCTAGTGACTTTGAATAATTCATCAACCCTTCCACTGCCAAACAATGAGCAGCTGTTTTTTTAAAAAACAAATTTTAATATGACATCTTATATATAATTAGATGCTCAATGATTGGAAATCCGAAGTGTTTGCAATAAATTATTTTTGGAAGAATAGCAGGTACTTGATAAATGCAATCTAAAAGGCAGCAAATAACACTAACATTAGCTAGTAAAATATATACATAATACTCAAACATACAAATTGGTTAACAAAGTGCATTTAATAGCATATTTCAAATAACATTAGATTATCATAGTTGAATTTTTAAATCCCAAAAATTGAAAAAAAAATTCTGAAATTATTTCACAAAAAATTCTTAGTTTTAGTTATTTCATGTACATAGTACCAATTTTGGGTGAAAAACTGTGCACTATACACAAAATGCTGCGTATAAATTGAGTTTCTACATTTTGAACAGCCCTATTTTCTACTTTCATCCATTCTATTCTCCTTCTGTGACCTTTTATCATCTCACCCTCTCTCCATTCTCCAATTCCTTTGGAATCATTATCAGGTGGGGAAACATTTCATATCACATAATTTCTTCCATAGGTTAGCCAACCATTTTGATCCATGAGCATCCTAAATGTATCACACTAAAGCTCAAGTGGACTCTTCTAATAACTTTAACATGAACATTATTTAACATTATTGTGTTAATATATTATCAAGTCCACACAAATCTTGATTCATAAATATTTTCTTGATTGACATGGAAATGTATGATATCTCTACTTTCCATAAATAGCACTGAACAATAACTAAAATTGATAACAAAAACCAAAAAATAAAAACAAAATGGAACATTGTTACCCTAATTCTTCAACTAGTCACAACCTAAATCAAACAAAACAGAACAAAACTAAAACTATTACAAATACTGACTTCTTCCGCTACCCTTATATGAATAAAAAAAAAAAAACATTTTATGGTTTACTGCAGAATAAGAAATCAATTTTGACATTTGCCAAAAAGATTTTGAATTTTGAAAGATCATACTCGGACCAAAACCTATTTGAGTGTTATGTAAGATATCATTAGACAGTCCTCGTGGCCTATCATTATTGCTTAACAACGCAGAGTTCATTGAGACAACACACAGGTACCTCTTGTAACCAATGTGAAAGCCTGAATATCTAGACCAATATTTTAGAATTTTTGCACAGTATACAGAGACATAGGTATAGACGGGTACACTCAGTGTTTTTTGGGTACCCTGCATGGGAACAAGGGCAATAGAACATCATGTTTGAATCAATGCATCAAGTCTTCTTTCTACCAATAAGAGGCACTGTATAAATATTGCTGCCAATGATTTTCTTTGCAATAAGAAGCCTTTTTATCAACAAGAAGACCTGAAGCGATTCCTATTTCTTTAATTACAGTGTTCCAAAGTTATGAGATATATTATGACAGGCAATAACATACTAATTTTGAAAATGAACTAATTCATACATGCTTGGCAATACATCATCAACATTTATTTAATGGAATGGTCTTTAAAGCTGTAAGGGGATGGAAGGTACACTATTTCAACCATTCTTTGTTTTACCATGCATCAATTTGGAAAAGATAATATAATTTAAAATTTGTCAATAGCAAAAAGGTTAATATCAGAAAAATACTAATGAAAAGATCAAAAATAATTTTATATAAAAATAAAAAGCAAGGAGCCAAAAATATTAAAAATATGGCAAGATTTACAACACTTAAATATCGCTCTGGTCCCACATTCTTTGAAAATTCAAATATTCAAATAGCTTATTCTTATTGGATGATATTGTATTTCAAACATTAATAGCTATTTTGATTGGTTTAAAAGCTGTGCATGATACTAAAAGCAATAAACAGTTTTGCGACTATGCACATTAATGTCATAATACACATTGATAAATATGATAAAATTTGTTCATGGCTCTTTCTGTCTGTCTCTTCTGATTTGTTGTCTAAAATTTCATTTTTAACATTTTAATAATAAGCTCATTACTGTCAATGATTACTTCCATACTATATTGCTTTTACATTATGTCTTGAGAAGCCTCCTGTATTTAAACCAATAACTGCTTTTTATTCATCAGTAAGTGGATTCAATATCATCAAGACCATTCAATATTTCTGAACCAGAAAGCCTGATCTTGTCTTCTCAAATGTAAAAAAGTTATAGAGTACAAATCCCATTAATAAAAACAAATTTCAAATATCAATAAATTACAAAATAAGCTTTAACAACATTTTGATGCTAAATAACCAATCAGCTCTTAGATTACAAGATTATCCAATGAGATTTCTAGTTACAGCTTCTCATGCCACAGGTTTGTCATCGTGAGATTCTGTTTCCGGAGTGGCAGGGTTAACTATTATAGTAGCTTCTGACTGTGGAACCTGGAAAATAATTATATAACGTAATTGTTCAACCTCAAACTTAGTTTGACACAAAATTATGTTAAAAAAGAAAGTTTAGTAACGACTTTTCTCTGTTTAGTTGTTTGCAAACCTAATCCACAAAAAACAAGACATTTCAATTTCATATACATGTACTGTCACTATGCGATTTCAGTTACTTAGTTTCAAATTGGTGTTTGTGATTTAAAATCTGCTATATATTTAACTTTCACCAACCTAGTTCACTAACAGAGAAAAATTGGATTGAAAAAGCACTATCTTGAAATATGCTGAGTTTGAGCTCCAAAAACGAAAAGCTTAAGTTGTGCCAATATATCGACATATCCTAAAGACAAAAGTATGTATATTACATGACCTTGGAATTGATTTTGTTTGATGTTTAAGTTAACTTACAATGGGACTATCAGGTTTGATAGGTGAAGATTTCTCCTCCATTTCAGCTAATTGTTTAGCCTCTTTCTCATCTGGACTCATTTCTTCCATCTCCCCGTTATCTAATCCTTCATTTTTCTTCTCAGGTACTTCCCTAAAAAAGTAACCACATTTGATATATGGGAACTTCAAAACACAACATCAGGAAATTTTATTTAAGTTTTCAGAACTAATGGTCCTATCCAAATGTCAAAGTCACATGAAGCAAAGAATTAGTGTCATTGTCCCATTTATATTGAAAAAGAATTTAAGTTGGCCAAGCTTGACAACAATATCTTTGATGTTCTTTACATAACATCATTTTGCTTTCTTACTTCAAGGAAATGTTGATCTCGATCGGCAGGTGAAAGTTCTCTAATAAGCCCACTCATAATTCCAGTTGACCCAGCTGAAGGGTATGGATAACAAGGGAAAGATCATTGAGAATAGGTTTGACCAAGGACAAGAAGGTAAAAAGGGTCGTTAACCGTTAACCTAAGTTGTTATTCTTGTAAAACTTAGTTGTTTCTTTCTTTCTTTGATATGTTTTATTTTCCAGAGTAAAAGTAAAACTTATCTTACTCTTCATTTACTTCTTCTGCTTTAGCTTCAGTTAACAATGGCTGCTTGTTTTCCCTGCAGAATCAGATGAATCAAATAAGGTTTAAAAAAAAGTGAAATATCCCAAGCATTTTTAAGAATTAATATTGTACATGAAAGCACTATGCTTTATAAGCTTCAAAGTGATGACAGTTAAAACTGTGCCTTAAAGTTTCTGCAAACTAATTCTGAAAAGGAATATGTTGACCTAAATTCAAGCTCTAGCAGCTGGTTTAGATATAGCTGCTATTATCCTGTCCCTCTTTGTCAAAGTACAGCTTCCATGGATATTCTCGTTGATGACAGGAATAGTCATGGCGTTTCTATAACTAAGTCTAATGATCTGAAGCGTTTGGAAAAATCTTACTTGTCTCCCTCTTCTACATTTCTTGCTCCATCACCATCACCTTCTGGTTTACCAGCCAGTTTCTGTTGGAGAGTCCACAATACACCACATTTCTTGTTGAAGTAGAAGGACACATCAATGATGATGAAGAGAATGATCAGAATGGCTATGATGGTTCCTACAATAGCTCCAGTAGCCATACTTGCCCCAGCTTAAAATCAAAAATAAATATCAACTTGAGGTGCATGTAGATTCCAGAGAAAGTTTTGATATATTAACACTTGAACTTCAGAAACTTAAAGGCAGTTACAAATAATTTATAAAGTCCTTCTAGTCAGCTTCTGTACACTGGCAATGTCAAGAAATGTGCAATGAAGGAAATTATTGCTAGGACGGTAAACCTTGCCCAACTTTAAAATTAGCACTGTCAATTGACCTTGTTCTCTGCACAAAGTTGGTGTCAAGAGAAGTGTATGCCAAATATTCTTTGTACATGTACTCATCAAAACGCAATATTAAAGGATTTTATAATGCTGGAGATGCTTTGACTCAAAGTAAACTAGTAGGGAGCTCTCCTATCATGGACTGTACATTAAGAAGATTCAATGATTTCATCATAACAGACTGAAACATAATCTGTATTCATGCTAATCTACACATTACAACTACCTTCAGATAGCCTTTTACCAAAAGCTTTTATCATCTATGTAAGGAAAGCACTACAAAATCAGTGAATCTCAGCTTAAAATATCAAAGGATTTGGAAACTCAAAGAGTTATGTTTTTGGAATATTGTAAAAGATTGCAAGATTCAGGGTTTAAGAATTTAGCCCAGACACCCTTTGTTTGTTATGCGCAGGCATACAGGCCTATGTACAATCCATATTACGTGAGATACCAACTACATATGTACATAATTAACCATGCATAGACATAATCCAGCCAATGACTGTCGGGGAAAAACCTATTCTAGGAATACCTGGACATTATTTTTGCTATTTAAAGATTCGTATAGCATCCTGAACGCAACAAGTCACTCAATTTTTTTCATCAGTCCATGGTATGTGAATACAGATTGTGGATAAATGGAGGTGTTAAACTAAAAACAAAAGGAGTCTGGGCCTAAAGATAACATGTTTTTTTTAAAATATGGAGTTCAATGCAAATTCCAGAGATTGTCTTTCAAGTATAAATTTGATCATCCAGTACATAGACAATTATCAACTATTGCAACGAGGTGCATGCACACAGGAATACAGTAGGAGGAATAAAGAGAAATACAATAGAAAGGGTATATATTGCAGTAGATTTGGGTAGGTAGAAATTACAGATTGATAAAGGTTTCAAGATTAGATTACAACATATATTCGATCATGGTAATATACAATAACTTACTTCTAAACCCAGGTTTAAATATTTCAGCCAATCACTGAAGCACATTGATTTCAATCATCCAATCATAATTGTGATAAAATTCGAATTGTATTCCGAATGGATAATTTTTGAATTTTGAACAGAAAGAAAGCACAGTCATAGCAAGCAATTAGGATATTTTAGCACATTATGTCTTTTGAAAAAGAAAACTGAACCAATCAAAATGCTTGTAATATGTGAAACAAGAATTCTATTGGTACTTATTTGCTTTTCCAAGACAAACCTGCCTGTGCGAAAATATCTTGAAGGGAATGCTTTTATTACAAAGCGACAGGGAATCCCAGTGTTGAAGCACAGAAGAGCAATATAAGGTCACCAGCCAGGTTCTAGCTCTGCATACAAAGCTTCCGTGTATATAAATTCAAATTTAAAATCATATTTGATAACAAAATCAATGGCAATTCGAAATAAAAATAAAACAACATGGGCATATAAAAAGAACTTGTCAGATAGTCTGAGGGGAAATATGAAAGGCAAAAAAAAAAAAGAAAAAATAAAATATAATGGAAAAAATTTTAGCAGCAGCACCATGTAAAAGGCATCTAAACCCTCAAATGATGCCAATCTAATCTGACTATAAGGAAAAACTTGATAACCTGTTCCAAATTACGCCTCAGAGGTCCTGCCAATAGCAAATCTGTACTCATATGGAATAGATTTATGAATCATATACTCAACAAATTTGACACAAGCGCTATACATCAAATACTAATAGTCAAGAATTATTTATTTTCTGAAACTCACACTGGAATTTGTTGAATTTGTGTTTGTAGTAAGCAGAGAGCCATTGTTGATCTTTCTTCTTCAATACAGAAATCATTCTGCATTTTGTTTTGGTAGTGGATGCCATGTTTATAAATGCACACTTCCCCCTACCATTACAAAATTCACTCTTTCACATACAAACACAACAATCATTGCATTAACCATTCTACATCAAACAATTGTACAGCTCAGTCAAAGATTTAAGCCCATCCAGGGTCCTTAACAGAAACAAGACCAGAGAGGTAATCAGAGTCAGTTTGGCCATGTATCACCTTAACACAGAAATCTTTTACAACTTATTCTTGAATGTGCCCTGATTCACAGAAAGCTTTCATGTTTTTAATTCTTTCCAGATAGACATAATATCAGAATGATCATTCTTATCCGAAATTGTCACTGAACAGAACTGCATCACGCACTCAAGTTATTTATTTCCAAGAAACCACTCTTTTAAAAATGAATATTTATTTTTAAAACAAATATTGAAATGTAATAAAACACACAAAGGATCATGGTGTAAAATACAATGGAGAAAAAAAAGAAAATTATGTCTAACTATTGTAACATTAAACACATATACATATTAAATAGTATCTCAATTTCTCATTATTCTTCCATCTGATTAAACAACTAACATTTCTTATCTGTGATCAAATTGGTAATGAGTAAAGATTGGACTGTCCTTCACAAAAATTTTTTCTGATAGACTTTAAATTCATATTGTCAATTACAATCAATTTCCAATTATTTATGTTTGCTGTATTTGCTATTTATATTTATATTTATATTTATTGTTATAATTGAGGAGTAAATACTGAATGATGACGCAATTGTTAAGTAATAACATGTCTACATAGCCAAGAAATTGAGAAGAATTTACATAATTTCAAAACTAAAAAATTTCAAAAGACAATACATACAACTTTATGTATATATTGCTGCTGACAATTAAGAGACATTTAAAGTATTTCTGTCATAACACTCTGCATATTAAGTTTTAATAGCAGCCGTTTAATCAGAGGAGATTATCTTTACTATGATTCTGTCATTGAACACAAACCTGATACTTCACAACATTGAATACTTGTATTAAACACGGCAATAACTGCACTGCTTTATCAATATATCTTTACAGACAAGGCAAACAAGATTATCGGAAAATTACTATTTATCTATTATTGCAACTGATGCCAAAATTTTCATTTCACAGTGACTTTAGGCCACAAGTTGAATGAACAAACACTGATGTTAACATGTTAATGTTAATGTGAGGTGTAATACCATGGAGATGGAGAAACCTTGAACACCACATAGCCATTGTGCAGGTTAAAGAAAAAGCAAATCACCATTATGCAACAAGTGTTTTAACAGTTAAAACAGTTCACAAAAGCCAAAAATCTAATCTAATATGAACTGCATAATATTAGGATTTTAAAACAAATCTTATAAGCCAAATCCACTGCCATGATTAACTAAGGAGCACTTTTAAAAGTTTAACAATACGTTTGAATTGCTACTCATTCCAGAGTGACCTCCCTTCCCTGATCTTGGTTTCAAATTATTTCAGAAAACTTCTGAAAAGATGAAAGGTTTGGGTTTTGTTTTAACCAGCAAGTATTGTACCTGATGAAAATTTGCATCTCATTTGCATAGGAACAAAACTCGTAATTTAAAAATCCTGAGATGAATCTCTAAGTACTTGAGAGATTAGTAAAAGACAGGAAGGGATAGGGTTAACAATTCAACAGAAACTAATTGAGAACATCGCAGAGCAATCTCTCCAAATTTAAAACAACGTATTTCTAAATTACATGATTAAGGTCTTAACTATAAATCGGAAAACTAACATTTATACAAAGTCTACTTTTGATTCTTTTGAAATCACCGACAGAAAAAGGCGCCACTCAAATTCACAACTTGCAATTTGTCAGCTTTTCAAAGATACAGATGGTGCACATTTCAATTCAAGAATATTCATCAAATTATTTCTCAATATTTTCCTTTAATTTCCAAATTTTCTCAATTTCCATCTCTATTTCTTAAAGCAAAATTTTCTTTTATTGCCAAATTGTAAAATTTTCTTATATTCAAATTTCAAAGCACTAAAACAATGCTTCAATTAACAATGAATCGATTGAAGTTACCATTTAACACAAAAGCACTAAATTTCCGTGTAGAAAATTGTAATAAAAAGAGTGATTATTAAAATTGTTAAACGACCAAAGCACAAGTTAGTCTAAAACTATTAAGCATTAAGTACAAATCACAAACATCGAAACTAAACTACAATTTACAATTATAATACAAAATATATATTCATATCATATATTATATAGTTAGTAATTCCAGTTAGCTCCCTTTGTTAGTTGGTTTGAAGGGGCTGATATTGACTATTGTTCAGTACCATATATATCATAAATTTATTATTGTAAATGACTAGATTGGAGAATCATTTTAATCATATGTTAGGCCCACTAATACTCGTGATACAAGATATAGGGCATTTGCATACATAATATAATTCAGATTAAAAAATAATTTTAGCCAGAGTATTAATTTTTCAGGTTTTACTTGCGTTAAAATTGAAAAAAATACACTATTTGTGTTAGTTAAAAAAAAAAAAAATATACAGAAAAATCAGACATAACAGAAGCAAATTTTTACAGAAATATACAAAATAAAAAATCTATTATACAGAAAATAATATGCACAATTACAAAAAATAATAGTTCTATTAACAAAATATTAAAGAAGCACGAAAATCTAGAAAGAGCTACAAACTAATATAACTTAATAATGAATATTATATACTCTAGCAAGCACTGTTAACTTAAAAAGCACAATCAAATCGAATGACGAAGAAAACGACAAAAAAATTGAAACTTGTCAACTTGGCAAGGGGACTTTAACTAGAAATGAATTTTTCAAACAAAAAGCAAAAAGCACCAAAATCTGGCCAAAGAAAAAAAAAATTCAGAACGGAAAACATCAAGAGATTAAAATTCATAAATTTCTATGAGTAAAGATGTCATTTTAGACAAAGGTTTGAATTCTTTAGACAATTTTTGGTCCCAGAAACGTTGTTACTAAATATAAGTACAGATATATACGAAGCTACATTCACAAAAGCTGTTAAATATAATATTGAGCTTTGAATAATGTGTTCAGATCCATTTCTTATTTGTCAGTGGATTTCTTTATGGTTTGGTTCAATTGGTATGGTCAGATCTGAAAGTATTTGGAACCTAGAGTTTCTTGCTCATAATCAGCCACATTCAATCAGATATGACCATTTTATAACTTAGATCTGAATCACATTAGAATACTTAATGGTTTTGATGAGTTTCTTACTACTGATTTCAATAATGGAATGATACACACACTGGGGCTTAGTTATTGAACACTGTGTATGTATTGATGTACACAACAACTACTAATTCATATAAAATTTCTATAAGCTGGTAATCTTGTATACCATTGTGTAATTTCATGGGAGTGAGAGCGACGTTCAAGCCAATGATGTTAAGATTTGGAATGATGATTTATATAAATGCATTTATCTCCCTTCCCTTAAAATGATAATATTGTTTATTTTGATCAATGTCCTATACAAGAACACACAAGAGACTTCAGTAGGGTTGATTCATCCTTGCTGACACTTTTCATCATAGGATTACACATTAACATTGTCAACACATAATGCACATTATATTAAGCTCAGTTTTCTTTATAGCACTGTTAAAATTAACTGTTAAATTTTACACAATAGATATTGACCAGGAACTCTGTAGATTCGAATCTATCATCCTTGAAGTAATCAGCTACACAAAAAATACTTAAGCGGAATTGTTGAAACACAGGGACATCACCGATGATCACCAGAGCAAACATGCCAAACACACGGAGAGAGCCAGTAATATTGAAGAAATGGAGGTATAAGGTGCAGGGGCGGCATCACCGACAGATAGCGCTGAAAAGAGGCGAAAAGAAAATTGGTGAGTGAAAGTTTAACAAAAATCATGAAATTTTCATTTATATTCATAAATATGGTTAAAATTTCATGAAATTTCAGAAAAGCTACCCAAGATTTAAGCAATTCTGAATTTTGAATATTTCATTTCAAGCTTTTTTGAAATTTCATGGAATTTTGCAATCATTTGATTATATTAGATATGAGATGATGCCCACATTTCTCATCAAGCGACTCATTTTGTTGCAGCCTTCAAAAAACTTTAACAATCGAAAAAGCTACTTGAAGACTTGCAGATTTAGCTGGCTCTTTGATGCACATGAGGATGTGGGAAGAGGATGAAAAGCACATGAAACTATGAAACATGCAAGCAAATGATAACGAAAATACAAAACAAAACAAAAATTGAATTCACATGCAAAATGAAAATGATAAGCAAAATGGGTGCAGGTAGTAACATGCGTACAAACTAACATTTGCAAACAAAAATAAAACACATAACATGCAGAATTCATTGGTCCCTGGTCAAATTAAAAATCTGAAAGAAATCTTCATTAATTACAAGATTAGGAACACCCAATAACAAATCCACAAATAGATTTGATCATTCCATTGTGCAATGTTCTTCGCACAAATTGCTAAGCCCAGTGAGATAGACCATACTTGATCATTCAATCACTCATTCAGTTGAAATTCTTTTCATCAACTGACCAAACTCACTGAAATACTTTTCATTTCACACACAAGATTCGTTCATTCAACACTGTTATTTATTTCTTCATTCAAGATATCTCTACTTTCCTATTTATTTAATCTATCATTCATCTGAAATTGATTCATTTATCTATCCATCCATTTACTACATTTACACACAATTCTTTCATTCTTATCAAACCAAAAATAACAATGTTTTTCAGCAATCATTTTTCAGGTAAAATTATTTTATGCAATACTTTTACTCACAGGTTAGAGTTGTAAATAAAATGAAATAAATGGAGTTTTATGGGCTAATGAAGACTGATACAGTAGTATTGTTGGGTGTTGCTCATGAAACAGACCATGCTATTTCTTTTCGAAACATCTGATGGTACTTCTAGTTCACGACTATACAATTATTGCTCATTATTTTGTCATGCTTTGGACAAAATCTATGGTAACAGGAATTGTTTTTCCTATACATTTTGTTTATTATTAAAAGTGTTTTATCCCTGTAGATATATTTTTAATATCATTAAACTTGGAAATTGGGTTAATTTGAACAAAAACAACAACAGAACTTTGAATCAAAAACACCATTGTGAAGTGAAAAACTAATGGTGCTGGGCAGAAACTCAAAATACCTCTCCCATTTTCATAGGCATAGGTGTGTCCTACAAGAAACCAACAACCTCAGAGGATATAACAAATTTAGAAGGGACTTGGAAAATAACCTAATCCTAAATAACAAATGACGCCCATTACAAGGGGGGACTTTTTATTATTTCATCATTTTACTTTATTTCTTACTCTGGACTTATCTCATGTCAAGTTTTCTAGAACAAGGCCACTGATCTTAAAGGGATTGTAAAGATGTTTTCTAAATGTTGTATGTGTATCAGGAACTCTAATGGCATCAATTTGTACCATTTGAACAGACAGTTGGAGTTCTTGCAATTTCACTAAAACTATTTTTTACATACAATCTTAGAAAACCTCTTTACAATCCCTTTAATTTGGGGAATGAAATGCAGAAAGATTTAGTCTTTAAAAATTCAAAACAATCACATCTTTTGCAAGATAGTTGACACAAAACTTTTCTGGGGATTCAACAAAAACTGATTTTTAACCAAAATTATCAATTATAACCAATTTTGGGAAAAGAGTTTTAAGGGATGCAAAGAATTATGTCATCAAAGTAAAATAAATTAACCAGTCGACATCAATAAGCCTTTTATACATGAACCCTTTTCATATGTAACAGACATCATATTGACCTTTTCTTATAAAATGCACAGACACCAGAACTTAAAAATCCTAAGATGCTCAAAATGAAGACGAATTAAGCAGATATGACATAGAATCTTAGAGAATTCCATAGTCTTAATGTACGCAGAAAAATCAAGCAGATTGTTTCAGCCATTGAATAGATTTAAAGCCATGCCCATTATTTCTTTTCTGAAGGAAGTTTTACTTTCACTTTCAGCTGTTCAAATATGCAGTAAGTTTAAACTTAAAATTAAAATCAACTAAATGCAAATTTGGAACTACTTGTTCCTTGAACTTATAAAAAATTAAATAAAATTCAAAATAAAGTAACAGTTCTTATAGCGTTTATTGTACCAAGGGGTGACATTCATTTAAAAGATAAATATTTGGATTATCGAAGTATGGAAAATGCTAGTTTGATCACTCAGGAAAGTTGGTAAATTCTATAGTATTTAAATAGAGCAATATATATTCACTCTTTATATTTTTTTGTGAACATATTTGTGCTGACAATTTAAATTCTCAAAATGTCATTGTCAATCGAATTGTTTTTCCATTTCCAATAGTGCAGGTAAACTCAGGTCAAAATACAATTCATCTTAGTGAAGACAAACTAGCAGTTTACCTGTTAAAATTAATCCATATTACTTAATGTATGAATGAAACCCTACAGTACAAACTTGGTCTATATAGATACCTGGATTTGTATTGGGTTTGGGGGTTGGAGGTGGTGCTGCACTTTCTATCTGGGTTTTTCCTAAAGAGATATCCACAATTATCATTTTATGAAATCAAGGCATTTCAATGACAATCTACTTCTGAGCTTGAATTTTTTTCTTGTGTATGAACTTTTTTTTAGATTACAGTTGAACTGGGTTTGACACAACTTATTTCTTTTATATTCATATAGAGGAACTTCTCTCAAATTTGAATTTTCTTTTTATTTTATAAAATTTCATAATATCCAAACAAAAAGAGGGAATTATGTGCAAATAATGTTTTTAGATAAAAATTCAAATGAAGGGCAACCTGTATAAAAAACATCAAACTAATGGGCAATAAATAATTTTGAATTTTGTCCCTTGAATATTGGGTCTAATTGGATCATGTATAATTTTTGACTAAACGGCAAATACCATGAATCATTTGTAATAGAGGATATGTTTAATTTTATCTAATTGAGATGTCCAATGAAATAAGTATGTCATGTAACATATTGTATATTGTGATCGGCAGCTATATTAGTTTGAGGTTAACCCCAGTAAAATAAAAACATGATTAGAACCTTACCAGTCACAGGTTTGTATGTACCATCTAGAAGAAATTCAAGGGAAAGAAAAAAGAATAAATATCAAATGAAATCAATCAAAATTCCAGCTGAATCATGATTTCAGTATAATAATGATCTGTTACTACAGTTTTCAACACAACACAAATAAGCCTTTTCTTTCAAATTTAAAGGTAATATCATAAAATTGAAACAATGTTCTAAAAAGCAGAAATCAAGCAAAACATTATCTAATTGTTTCAAATGATAATTCTCCATGTTTGAGTGCAGGCAGATACTTTTTTTATCTTGTAAATAGCAGATTCTGTGCTATCACAAAGATTTAGAGTTTTAATAAATTTTCAACAATTACCAAAATTAAATTAAAAACTTGTGAATATGGTTTGAAAAGAAGCAAATAAAAAGTCTATAGCACAACTGAAATTTCCCCAAAAAATATTTTTCAGAACATTTGACAGATGGACAGACTCATAGTAAGCAAAAACTGAGGTGTTTGAATTCTGAGCTGCAATTAAAATAATTATCCAATGGATTCCAAATTTAAAACAAATACATTGAGTACAACATCAATATACTGTTGATTAAGGACTAAAAAATGGCTAAAACAAAATCATTTCAAAACAAAAATCCACACACATACAGAAAAAGAAAGGGAAAGATATATATATATATATACATTAGTTCATGAATATGACATTAGTAAAGGCAATGATTTTCAACAGACTAACTGGACTGTACTGTTTCTGACTTGTTTTCAAACGAAATATTATTTGTCACTTGTCAGATAAAATTTCAATATTAAAAAAATGCCACGCTTTTCAAGTATCAAACCAATCTTTGCTTTCCAATTGTTTCCAAAAATTTAGCTACAATGTCAGAAACAGTGTAGTCGAGCATGTCAATCACTTGATCGCAATTTCATTATTCGAGCAGAGGCAATGGATTTTTTGAGAACCTGGTTGAGGGAGCTTTGCGATCCAAATCACTGCAAGCATGCTAGTTTAGTCCACAAGTAATACAAATTAATTTTGATTCATCACTTTTACTAGCCTTTGCAGCTCTTTGTGTCCTTGGTGCATCTTGAGAGTTTAAGTAAAGCTCATTCTTGACTTAGACCAATGTCCACTGGACACTTCACAATATTGTTCATCCATCATCAGACGAACAAGATATAAATAGCAAATTCCTTACCTCCTTTTGAAGTTTGAAAGATGAGTTGACGTGCATCAGATTCACCAAGGGCATTAATGGCTTTAACCTCTGCTTGATAGAATGTATTTGGTTCTAGTCTTTCCAGTCTGTAGCTCGTAATGTCTCCCTTAGCCTCTTGTTTGATTGGCTTATCCAGTACTTTTGTCACCGCCCATGATGATTCCGAATCGCCTTTAACTTCAACCTAAGATATGAAAATTAAACATTTTATCGTCCAAATATTTTAAATCTACCCACAGTTGTAAATCTCAATGGATAAATTGTAAAAGATCTTTACTAGAAGGTTAAGAAGAGGATCCAAAAATAGGTGTTTATTTTCACTAGAAATCTCAAAGACATTATAGTACTGATTGGTCTGTCAAAAGGCTATAACAGAATTTAATACTTTACGGAGCTGCTAAATCCTTACAAGATGTGTCGTTAGTTGTAAGTGCCTCAAAATATGTTCATAACCCACCTTATTATAGCTGATCATATATCCAGTTATTGGACTACCTCCAGTCAATGGTTTAGCCCAACTTATGATATAGAAATCGGCATTCGGACCACTAGGAGTAGATGTAAATGATACAGGATTGGGTGGACCTAAAAAAAAAACACATTTGTTTTGTTAAATTGATAAACCAAATGATAATATAATGATGTATGAAGAACAGGTGAAGTATTCCACAGAAAATATAAAGACTAAAAGACATATAGTAAGAAAGACATATTAGGTTGAATTTACTAGCAGACTTCAAACTAAAACATTCATTTGCAAAAAAAAATTTAACAGGTGATAATATGTCTTTTCTTTTTTGAAAGTATGTCAGGCCTGAAAATAGTTTCATTTGTGCCAAGACTTCAGTAAATATTGATTGCCAGGGTCTTGTTGGATTTGTGCCAATTCATATTATCAAATATAAAATCTGTATCAAATTTTTAGTACAGCATTCGGGGGACTCTCGCAAACTGCTTTTGAGAGAGTCCATCAGGATTCTTCTATATTTCAATGAACGAATATTTAGGCCTCGTATGTTGTCACAAAAGGTTACTTACGGACTTTTGGAGTTTCTACATTCAGACTTTGAGAAGATCCATAGCCTACATTATTTCTTGCACTGACAGCTACTTTATAGGTCTTATCAGCTTCCAGTCCGACAATTCTGGCCACGGTTCTCTGTTCCCCAGAACTAGATGGCGCTGAAAGGAAAAACAGGGGATTTTATAGGTGTCTTTTTTCCAAATTTCTTAATCAAATATTTCAACACACATAACCTTAACAACTGATAAATACATTTGTATGTATTCAAAATGATTTAATCAGCACAAAATAATTCAAATACCACTTCAAATATTAAATATGAACTACAGTTAGGGAAATTAATCTAATACCAAATATACAATAGGTTTCAAAATAATGGATTAAAAAATCTAAGACATGCACCTCCTCGAAAAAACTTACGTTTTGAAGCTCTAGTTGTTTTGACGTCTGCACTGCCTTGTAAGTTATATTCTATCTTATAATCTAGAACAGGTTGGCCACCATTGTCAGCAGGAGGACTAATTATTAATTCAACAGATGTTGGAGTAGGATTGTCACTTTTTACCTGAACTGTTGATGGAGGCTCTAAAATACAAAATATTAATACATACAGATATACAGTATTAAGAAAAAATAAAGAAACAAAGAAACAACCATATCAGATCCTTTCTAACAGCTGGTCCTTGACCACCAATATTCCAACTCTCTAACCATCTGTGCTACATACCACTTCATAACTTATCTTAAGGTTCTTAGTAGGTATGGATTATGATCAACCCCATTTCTGTTTTGATCATATTTAAACAGGACAAATAAATGTTTAATCTTAGAATCTTTTTATTATAAATTATTTTAATCAAACATGAACAATAATTTTTAATAAACTAAGCAGCCAAATATTAATTATAGTCAATTCAAAATTATTATCTCATATCAAAACTGTTCATATGCAGGTTTGATTCATTGCTAGTCTTTGAAGCCCAGTATATTCCTGTTTACAACGAGGATATAGTCTGGGACTTTTGATTTAATTTTCTGTTACTACACTTTCAAGGGAGACAACAACAATTAAACATAGTCCATTTACAAGTCTCAAACAACTCGATCACAACCGAAACAATTTGGCTAGCCCCACAAATGATGCTGGTTTATATTCCATATTTCTATCCGAGGATGTTATCATTATAGATTTTTCGAGCAAAGAATTAATATTCATTAAATTATATTAATTAGACATTGTCTAATTCACTGAATTTTTTTGATTAGTTTTTCCTATCACCGAATGGATGTGGATTTACAACCAATCAGATTTAATGGTCACTGTAGAGTTTTGTAATTACAAAGATTTTAAGCAACCAGTCCAGACCATCTTTTGTCAAAGCTGTGCATAGACAAAGAGTGACCGGATGAAATGCAAACCATTTATCTTTTTGATCAAATTAGGGAAAGCATACATACTAGCTTTGGTAAAAGTAATTGTCTGTGTAGTTGTTCCATGAGCATTTTCAGCAGAACAGACATAGTCACCATAGATCCAGTCTTCATTATCAAGCAGTACAGCAATCTATAATTTATAACAAACATGACCACAATTAAACTACATCTGTATCCTTATTTCTAATTAATTACATGAATATGTTCGATTACCAAATTGACATCGATTCTAAACAGCAGGTAACTGATCAACAATTTTAAAATCTCCTTATCTTTGATTCTATATGTACATTTTTTTTCACTAAATATGTGAACTTTATTAACTGACAGTGTTTCAGACAAATGAAACTGAATAAAACATAGGAACCTTTACCATATTTACTTAAAGGAAAAACCAAGTGGATTTGCTTTGACTTATAAACTTTGATTTTTTTTTCAAAATCTTACCATAAGATCACTTGTCATTGTGCCTTGTCCTGGTTTACTGACAATTTGGAATGTGGTGTTGTCTGCTATATTCTCACCATGACGAGACCATTTAATAAACGCTTCAGGTTCAGCATTAGCAATACATCTGACCTCACTACGGTGATTAGCCCAACCGTATGTCTGAGTGTATGGGGTATCATCAAAGTTTGGTTTGACTGAAATGAAATTTCAAATAAATTGTAACTCTATTTAAATGGTTATCTGTAAATTGTTAAAAACTAAAACGTTACCAAAGAAAATCAATGAAAAATGGCTCTAAAGATCAGAATATTGGTAATAATAGTTAAATAAGATAGTGGACCACAGCCATATACGCCAACCACGGCATGCGGATGGTAAATATTCAAGATTTTGGGACAAGGGCAATAACTCTGCTTCCAACGGTCAAAAATTTGAACTTGATCTTCGTTTTATGAACATGTATACACATACCGAATTTCATTTAATTCCATCAAAAAAAATCTAGTGTTTAGAGCATTTACAAGCAAATGCTGACGGACGGACTGACAGACAGGGGTGCCGACAATATACGTCCACATAGAGAGATGTGGGCGTATAAAAATGAAATTAAATTGTAGTGGTCACTAGCTGAAAGTCAAAATCTCAAATAATTGTGAAATTCTTAACAAATAAGCTAATTACCTAATAGAAAAATTTAGCCAATGCTAATGGGAAAAGTTGGGCAGGTTCTAAATGAAACAAGATGCCAAACATGTTAAACTTTACAAAATGACCAAAAACTCACATTGAACAGTAACTGATCCATTTTCACTGGCACTACCAGCAGAGTTAGTAGCTGTACAAGTATAGGTGTTTGTGTCACTGGATTTTAAAGCAGCAAATATCAACTTTAATTCTGACTTCCAGGAACCATCAGGTAACTGATCCTTTTTCTGCTCTAGTGTGGCTCCTTGGAGTGTCTATAAACAAAATTCATATGTCAAATCATTTACTTTAACGAGGTCAATAGACACACACAGTCCCAGTCAAGTTGAGTTGATCAAATGAAGACAATGAAGTTCAACAACACCAAATTAAAGGGATACTACCCCTTAAAATGGGCAAAAATTTAAAGTCTCAAACTTGGTCAACAAACAACAGGTGTCGTGTCTACAGAGTAGAATATCTACATAAGATGATATATCCATTAAACTAAATAATCATTGAAATATGCTTAAGTACGTTTCAAATTACTTAGTTTAATGAATTATTACTTACTTTTATGGGTTTATTGGATTATCGAAGGATTTTTAAATTGTATATTTATAACACCAAGTAAAACTCTTTAAAAATTTCAATTTTTTAGTCTATGCATTGAAATGATCAATTTTTTGTTTTAAGTCTAACAGGGTTCATACAGCACTTTGCCTCAAAAATTCAAAGACTTTTCAAGGACTCTGGGCTAGGATATTAGTCTGACAGAATACACATGTACCTTACTTCTTAACTGTGAAATATATATTTGTCAATGGGGTTAATGATAGAAATATACACAATTTGACTCAACTCAAAATTTTAAAGTTTAAAAACAAATTGGAAGAGTTACTTACTCCTGATTGGTCAGAAGAGAAGGCAACATCAGAACCAAATTTTTTCCATGTAAGATCAGGGGCTGGGTTACCCTCGCCAACACAGGTCAACTCTCCTGGTTCTCGTTCTACTTTAGAAATATCAGTTATTGAAGTGATCCTTGGTGGAACTGAAAAAATAGATTAAACCTATAGCAATTTAGCATTCAGAAACACATTGGTTAAGTTCATTTGCACTAAAAACAACTAGAGAGTCAATCCTTAATCTTCACCATGGAATTGCTAAATTAATTTTGGGTCATTTTTGACTATTTCTAGAACTTGCTAATATGAATAATTAGCAGTTTATTGAAACATCATTATTTATATATAAGCCTTGAAAGTGTTTGTGAACCCTGATTCACAAAATTAAGATGAGATAAAACCCATCTTTCAAGAAAAGCTGCAAACTGGATTAGTTAATAAAGTTAACTTTAAAACTGATTTTACCAATGACCAATCAGATAACAATAAATGACCCCAAGGTAAAGATTATGTAGGTTTCCCTTTATACATTTTCAAAAGATATAAGAGAGATATAAATAAAACTGTCTTACTGAGGACTTCAACGGTAACAATTTCTTCAATCTTGCCACCAGTTTTACTACCACGTACTCCATCCTTGATATTGCTGGCTACACATTTATATTCACCCGAATCAGTGGCCTCTATCTTTTCAATCTCTAATCTGCCATTAACGTCATATATTATATATCGTGATCCCTCTAAATATTGGTCATCCTGGAAAAAAGACAATTTGAAAATGAAATGGTATGCTCCTTCTTGAGAAAACACCTGATGCCGATTCTAAAGCTATTTCAACTCAGCATTCCTTTCAAAGAGCAACATTGTTAACACTGTTTACAGGCAGGTTGGTGTTAGATGGTGATGAGAACCTAGTCTAATAAAAGCACTGAACTTTGTCACAATGTAAAGATTCAACAAGGTGCAATTTGAAATTATGTCATTAAATAAATTCAACCTTACAATGCACTTAGTCTGATAATTAGTTCAACTCTTTTTGATAGCTTGTTCTGCTGTATTAAATTTCAGACCTGATTTCTGAACCATTTACCCTGATATGGATTTTCAAATATCTGAATCTCTCTTAAACAGTATAAAATAATTTCCTCTCAAGTAGTAAGTTGCTGTCCTATCTATATTCTCATCATATACATCAAGTATCAATATTTCATACCAACCTTATAGAAACTAAAGATAGGTTGTGGGTCTCCAGTAGCAAAACAACTCATAGTGAATTTTTTACCAACTACAGCAGGACTAAATGTGGCTGGTCGACTAGATTTTGGTGGAACTAAAATGAAAGAAAACAAGTTAACAAACCAAGTCAATCGTTAAGTCTTTTAGACTAATATCAATACTTTATTCGGTCAAGGATTTCATTTATTGACTGACTAATTCAATAAAACATGATCGTGTGCTAAAATGTTGCAAATGCAGAAAAACTCTACACAATAATCAATTTTCCCTAACAAGTTGAACAGTTAAAGTTCTAAGCAAGTTCCTCAACTTAATTGTATTTACGTGCAATGCAGATGTGTTTCTTTTTGAATTGGCAATTGGGCCGAGGGAAACTTGTCCAGGACAGCAACAGCATTATCCTACTGTTTTAATAAATTGAAATAAATAAATATGATGACTTACTGGTAACTTCAATAGTGATATCATATTGTAAGAAATCTCCCATGCTAGGTACATTGACTGAACAGAAATATTTTCCATTATCTTCTTCTGTTATATTCTTTATCACCAGTCCATCTTTCTTTTGAATAAAACGACCATTAGCTGCATGGAAAATAAAATATTTTGTTATGACAAACTATTATTCATTATGGTATGACATATAAAGTATTTAGATGACATCTTCTATTTCAAATAATTTATCTTCAGAATTTAGGTTGCTGTAAATCTGAACAAAATGTCCTGAGAAATATTGTCAGCAGAGGAATTAATATGATGTAAAGTTCACATACTAGGGTTGTTTTTGGATGCCCCAAAAAATCTTATCACTATATGCAAGACTTTGAAACCAACTCCAGAAAAAGTGTTACTCCCTAAATTCAGGTCAATTATTCAGGATAGATATTTCTAGAATATTTATTAAATGTCAACATATCAGGAATATAAAAAAGATTTATTTACAAAATGTGATTTCAAAATGCCATTGAAAGATTATCTTCCGTTCCCTTTCTCAGCTCAATACCAAGCGTTTCATTGAATTAATTGAATCAATAGATCTATTTCATGAAAGAATTAAGCAAGTATGGGAAGTTTGAAATGTGAAGTAAATCAAAGGTAAAACTTACTTGAGTCAATTGGCCTTTCATCACCATACAACCAGTCAACACTTGCTGATGTGGCATCAACATTACATTCAATAAAGGCATCAGTATTGATATTGGGCCGTTGTTTTTTTGGAGAATCAATGATGGTGATACCCTCTGGAAAGAAATAAACAACATATATTAGTGAATTATACTATATATTGAGAAAGTTTTGAACAATTAAATTCCAAAGGAATGCAGCAATATCGTGGGTGATCGCTTGAAATCTCGTATAACGATATATGACACGGAATTACTTTGAAAGAAAAACGCAAAAAACTATTTGTATTTTCATCCGCAGAAAAGGAACATTGAACCTCGTATAATAATATATTTTACGAGGTCTTAAATCTGACTGTTTATATACGTGTTATTTAATTAGTGCTTTTTGAGTTATTTACAATCAAGCTAAGAATACGAGGTTTTGATCACAAGATCCCCGCTTTTACGAGCCTTCGAACAGTACCAAAACAGGACCAAATATGGCATATATGAGGTTTCAAGCTCATAAAAACTCCAAATATCTTAATGCTAAGTCACCATTAAAAAATAACCAATATATAACCCTAATAACTAAATATATTGCACACTTACTGTATAATTCAATAGCAAGGGATTTTTCTACAGGGTTACCATTAATAGTGGCTTTACAAGAATAGGATCCTTCATCTCCATTCCGTAATTTAGGAATCATCAACGATAACTTATTACCATATCCTGATACTTTTATTCTACAAAATATAATCATATATAATCAATGATTGAAATTCTGAGTAACAACTTGTTTTAATATTTCTATAACACTATTGAGCACTATTTTAACAGAGATACTTCTATACCACTCTACAATTGCTGTATTGAGCACTATTTTAACAGAGATATTTCTAAATCGCTCTATAATTGCTGCACATATTGAGCATTATTTTAACATATATTTCTATATCACTCTACAATTGATGTTTTGAGCACTATTTTAACAGAGATATTTCTATATCACTCTACAATTGATGTTTTGAGCACTATTTTAACAGAGATACTTCTATATCACTCTACAATTGCTGTATTGAGCACTATTTTAACAGAGATATTTCTAAATCGCTCTATAATTGCTGCACATATTGAGCACTATTTTAACTTATATTTCTATATCACTCTACAATTGATGTTTTGAGCACTATTTTAACAGAGGTATTTCTATATCACTCTACAATTGATGTTTTGAGCACTATTTTAACAGTGGTATTTCTATATCACTCTACAATTGCTGTATTGAGCACTATTTTAAGAGTGGTATTTCTATATCTCTCTACAATTGATGTATTGAGCTTTATTTTAACAGAGATACTTCTAAATCGCTCTACAATTGCTGTACATATTGAGCACTATTTTAACAGAGGTATTTCTATATCGCTCTACAATTGATGTATTGAGCACTATTTTAACATATATTTCTATATCGCTCTACATTTGATATCACTCTACAATTGATGTATTGGACACTATTTTAACAGAGATACTTCTATATCACTCTACAATTGCTGTATTGAGCACTATTTTAACAGAGATATTTCTAAATCGCTCTATAATTGCTGCACATATTGAGCATTATTTTAACATATATTTCTATATTGCTCTACAATTGATGTTTTGAGCACTATTTTAACAGAGATACTTCTATATCACTCTACAATTGATGTATTGAGCACTATTTTAACAGAGATACTTCTATATCACTCTACAATTGATGTATTGAGCACTATTTTATAAGAGATACTTCTATATCACTCTACAATTGCTGTATTGAGCACTATTTTAACAGAGGTATTTCTATATTGCTCTACAATTGATGTATTGAGCACTATTTTAACAGAGTTACTTCTATATCACTCTAAATTGAAGTATTGAGCACTAATTTTACAGAAATCAAAATGAAATGAATGGAGTTTTACGTCCTACTCTTCTCCACCTTGTGGGCTAATGAAGACGGGCAACGCCATGCAGGGTGCCATGAGGGAAATTTTGCCAGGACAGCGGCATTAGCCTGCTCTTTTTCGATTTCCAACTGTCGAGGTATCTTTAACGTGCACAGCCTGTAGCACACGAGGCTTCGGTTTATTGTCCCATCCGAACGACTAGACGCTTTTTCCATGTCAGTCCCTCTTACCTGCATCACTGACAGGGGGAAACCGGGTTGAAAAATCCGAAGGTATTATCTCGACCTATGCCGGGATTGAACCCTGGACCTTCAGGTTAGCGAGCAAGCGTCTAACTCACTGAGCCACCGCGGCTCCCCACTATTTTTACAGAGGTATTTCTAAATCGCTCTACAATTGCTGTATTGAGCACTATTTTAACAGAGGTATTTCTTTATCACTCTACAATTGATGTATTGGGCACTATATTAACAGTGGTATTTCTATATAACTCTACAATTGAAGTATTGAGCACTATTTTAACAGAGGTATTTCCATATCGATCTACAATTGATGTATTGAGCACTATTTTAACATATATTTCTATATCGCTCTACATTTGATATCACTCTACAATAGATGTATTGAGCACAATTTCAACAGAGGTATTTCTATATCACTTTACAATTGATGTATTGAGCACTATTTTATCAGAGATACTTCTAAATCGCTCTATAATTGCTGTACATATTGAGCACTATTCTAACATATATTTCTATATCGCTCTACATTTGATATCACTCTACAATTGATGTTTTGAGCATTATTTTAACAGAGGTATTTCTATATGGCTCTATAATTGATGTATTGGGCACTATTTCAACAAAGGTATTTCTATATCACTCTACAATTGAAGTATTGAGCACTACTTTAACAGTGGTATTTCTATATCACTCTACAATTGCTGTATTTTTAGCACTATTTTAACAGAGGTATTTCTACAAAGCTCTACAATTGATGTATTGAGCAATTCAAAATGTTTGCATGTTTACAAGGGAAAATGGCCCTTATTAGAGCATTATTTACAACAAAAATGAAAATAAATAACTTACGGTCCAGTTTTAGCAGTAACTTGTGTCCCACTGGCATCAAACCATTGTAAATTGGCTGATTCATCTGCTGCTAAACCATCAACACTACACGTTAATTTAATACCTTCATCTATCTTTTTCACTAACTTATCCACATCGGGTTCCATTAACAATTCTTGACATGCTGAAATTACAGAAAAAATATATTGATGACTTAAATCTATGAGCAACACAGGCTGAAACGACCAGTTATCAAAATCATTTTGCCTTCTCAGAAGCGATTTCATTACTACATATACATTTTCATGCACATTTGAAGTATAAACAGACTGAGAAGAAAAACAGCACAAATAAGAAATAGAAATTGCAGCTCACATTTCATAAACAAAATGTGAATGATTTATCTACGCACATATATATTATAGAAATGTTTTACTCCCTTCGATTATGTATCTTGTCTGAATATTTTGTGTTTGTGTTTATAGGAAGAGTGGATGTAGATTTTTCTGTAGTCTGTTTGAGAGATCAATATCATAATCAGAATTTCACTGAATTTCGATTTATTCTACAATCGTTTAAAGTATATTTTCAACAATGGGTCCCTGTAATAAATGTTTGCACTGTAAGCTTATATCAGCCATTATATTGATTTCTAGAAAACTGAAACTAATGATGGTAGGCAATTCTATTCCTGTCCTTTTATCTCAGATAATATTCCCTCTACTTATCTCCCTTACATCCGGCTAATTGTTCAAATTTCTACCTTGCAGCTAAAAGGTTGTTTTGACTTCAACAGCACTTCTGAAGGGATGTAGTTCATTACTGAAAGTAACATTCTAGTGTGAAAATAAAGTAAGTTTGGAGATGTTGCATGAAACACAGAAATAGTGCTCGCACGATATATATCATTGAATCGATGTTTTGCAATACAACATGTCACAATACGCATATCATATCACAAGGTTGTGTATCAATACATGACAATAACTTTCATTCAATATTTCTTTCACTGGCTTGACTGAAACTGTTGAAAACTGGGTTCCTTGTCATTCATTTTTATATTGATTGATACATAGACTTTGTTTGAAACGTATCAAACTTAACCTTTCTGCAGAATATCAGAAAAATCTAATTTTTCACCATTGATATCAGACAATCTGACTTGAATGGTCACACTGGAAGCTGGACTGGTGTGATGTGCCCGATACTCTACAAGATTAGAAATTTCTTTAATATTTAAGTTCTTATTGTCTTTTCCAAGTCCATGACAAAAACAAATATAAAAAATGTCATTGTATTTAATTTCAGCTGCCAGAGAGAGATAATAAGATCAAGCATGTACAACAAACAACCGATATGCTTAATAAACTTGATTACCATTCTTACTGTAGTGGAAAAACTCTAACCTACACAAGTTTACATGAAGACCTCTTAAAATAATTTAATTACTTAGTTACCATGGTAACAGAGAACTGTGACATGTTACAAAAGCATGAACACTAAAATAAATCAAATTTATTTCTATCTTGTTCTTTCATCTCTGGCCTTTCATCAACCATTCTATTGTTTTGTTTGAAATCAAAACAGAGTTTGTTTTCAAATCTTTACATTTTTTTTTTTAATATCAAATCTTGTTGGTGACAGGATTTAATATAAAACATTCCACTATCAGATGACGGCAGTAGGGGTCAGGAAAAAACACAATAGGCAAATTCCAATTAGACTTGGCATGAAAATGAAAAAAAATTTATTGCAACAAAAACTGTGAACTCTCTGAAAGGGATGCTGAGTCTACATGAGTAAAATATTGAGTACAGTACCAACAACAGCTAATGTAGACTCTATGAAAGGGACACCAAGTCGGCAAAGCCATTAAAGCAGTATCTGGCTTAGTATGATTTCCTTCAATACAGTGCAAAATTTCTCACCAACATTTTACAAGAGTCTGTTAATTTAACTGCTTCCGAATCATGATTTATGTCTTTTAGAAGATTTGAGCCTTGATTTATCCAGAGAAAGCTCAGTAAATTATTTCATTGCCATAAGGTATGTCTAATAATGACTTTGATTCTTATTTTGAACAGTAATTGGATACAGGTAATCTGTTTACTCCAGTTACATTAAGAGTTTATTTTATCCAGGCAGTTACATAATTAAGAAAATAAGACTATGGTACAATAACATGAGAACATGATTGAGACTTAACGAAGCTTGTAATTAGTTAATTTGGAGAGAATCTGATATCACTATCTTTTAATACTGGAGTTAAATAAGAGTACACACTTAACATCTACAAACAATAGGGGGCTACCAACACAAACATCAGTTAGGTATAAGGAGTTTGTTTTGACTGTCGTTTAAGAAGTTTGGTAAACAAATTTAATGCACCTCTGGTCAGCTAAAATATATTTAGAGGGTTAAATAATTTGGCTACTTTGTCTAAACAATTATTTACTTAATTGTTTGAAAATGAGGTATGTACTCATATGTATGCAAACCACAGAAGGAATGGGAATAATGAAACCAAAACAGAGACAAATGCATATTTGATGTAAATTGAAAGTTTCACTATTATTGCAAATTTACAGCCTTTTTTCAAATCAATCCACATTCATAACAGGCAGGTTGATACAGGAAAACCATCTTATATAAAGTCGATATTTATTATCAGCTGTTGATTCATAAAGGTTCATTGCTTATTTGAGCATCTTACCATTAAAGGTATAAAGATTAGCCGAAAGGTTGGGAACCAGGGCTCAGAACCAAGTGCTCAAAAGGTCTCAAATCTAACATATAACATCCAATTAAACCATGTAGTAATTGAGTTATACAGTTGGTTAAAATACTGTACATGTATTCCAGTTATTTCATTAATCTTCAGTTAAATCTGACATTCCATCAGATTCAAACATCAAAGGGAGACCACCTGCCTACAAATATTTTAATTTATCTCAGACTACAAATCTAGGGTTTAAAATTAACTCAAGTTAACATCATTCAAGAAAAAATGCTGAAGTTTTTGTTTTAATTTAACAAACTACACAAGTACATTCTGAGTTAATTTAACAATAGTATTCAAATGATAAAGTTCTTGTCTATGGCAATATCAAGTAGAATGAAATGGAAAATGTCTTCAAATACTGTTTATTTCTTTATGCACCAACTGTAATGAAGCGAAAAGTGGACTTATTTGAAATAGTCCAAGTCATATCTATTACCAGTCTTAAAAATATCAAATGAAATGAAATCAGGGAAGTGTGATACTGAATATAAGATATAGAATGAATATATTTATATTTGTTAGTGTATTGATTCTGGCCTGAAGTAACCCAGACACATCAATATAACAGATACTTTGTAACAACATTCATTATACCCTTTAGTTTCTAATACACTCTCATTTCTATACTATGACAGACAAACTCACACACCCAAAATATATGGTCTGACAAACTAGAGCAGTACGGTACGATAGTTCTTAAAATTCATGGAAATAAAGGAATTTGTGTTTGCACACAGTCAACATTGGATACAGAAAGCACCATCATTAGAAATATTACACAGTTCAAATTTTTAACAATATAACGTCTAAATCAACAATCATATTTAAATCATCCTCTTGTTTTAATATTCCCAAACTCACTTTACAACTCGGATTTTGGGAAGTGATTGTGGATTTTCTTTTGTCCTTGGTGATTGGGGCTTTTGTGCACATGGCCTTTTGTCATTGTGAAAATATGTGCCAGGCCTTTCATATGTCCAGCTATCACTTAAGATTCTGTACCGTGCTTGCATTGTAATGAATTGAAAACTAACTATTAGACATTACATAATATGATTTCTTTAGTCATTGATAGAAATATTTGAATATTATAATCTGACATGGAAACATATACCAATAAAGGCAATAGAATATTATAGGAGTGTTATGCATAAGGTTTTCAATGTTTAAATTTTGTATATTAACGTATTGTTTGATATTGCTTTGGCTATGTATGGTGTGCAGGGGTATGTATGGTGTAATCTTTGCTATAAGGTTATCATTGATAGATGATTTTCAATATAATGAAATATGCATCTGTCTTTTCCTGGACACAAGGCATTAACATTGAACCTTTTAAACTAAATGACTATCTCCTGAAGGATTCTAAATAAGTTCAAACGACAATGTGGAACCAATTTTATTGCTGTATCAGACATATTTCACGCCTGCCACAGAAACAGAATTGATTAAAAATTCAATTTAGAAATGTCAAGGTTGTTGTGTTCATTTATAGTAATGGTAGAGCTGAAGTTATTAAATAGAGAGCCTATTGATTCCGGTGTCTGTCTCTAGAATTAAATCTTTCATGCAATGCTACAGACTTCAAAGACTCCTGGGACATATTCATCACCAGTAGCTTCTTTATCTATCAGCTTACGCAACAGGTTATTTTAGATTGTTAAGCAATTAATAGGCCCCTTGAGCAACAATTTCTTAACATCATGCAAAACAGACTGGTTTTACACAGCATAGATTTCTCCAATAAGTATCTGCAGCCATACAAGAGGACAGGTCTGTTTGTCTTTTCAGTGCGCTTGACCATTCTGTCATACCATAACTTCAACATGCTTGAAATAATATGACCATCTTCAAAGTACCTTATTATTTAGGAATATGCTTGAACCCAAGATAAAAAACATAACTTAATTCAATAGAGCTCTTTTACAATAACAACTGTTGCAGGAGTCTTAGACTGTTTTAATTAATGATTTACAAACATATACAAATAAAGACCACTTAAACTTAAATGTTTCTGTAATATACAGATTGGAATATTAATATTCAAATGTATATTATTAATTTGAATTAATTTTAAACTGATTTGTTTGTGATAATAATAATTAAACTAGACATACTTTTAAGTCCTGAATCATAAAGAGGTGACATTTTCTGACCTTGCCTGACCTTTACAGGAGGATAGTTTATCTGAAGTTGACATTACACATTAATTCAGGGTGAGGATTCACTGAATTTTGATAGAATTTATAGGGTACCAGGGGGTGGACTATGACAATGAAGAGTAATTTCATAGTCAAGATTAAAGTAGGCTCTCCAGTGCTCATTGACATAAAATAAGGGATAATTTAAGGGCTTATTACAAATTTTATAACTAAATCCGGGCAGTTTTAGACATTTAAATGCATTACTTTCGCACATTTGACACTCAAGAAATTTACGAAAATACAAAAATTGAAAAAATGAGGTTTTACTTGCTTATATCTTACGCAATACTAAACAGTATTCCTGTCAACAAGATATAAGATGATTAAAGGTCTGAAGAGCTACTATAATTTTACAAGAGTTACCAACTTAAACTTCATCAATCCCATCTACCAACAGGATCTTTGCTAATGAATTATTCATTCCCATCTACAGTGGAGTTAAGTAAGGGTTTAACTTAAGATTTTCTCTACCAACTAAGCCACCCAGATGAAATTTAAAATTTCATGCACATCAATGACATCAATCTATTTATACAATTGCCATGTTTATCTAAAGCTTTCAACATGAAAATTCAAAATTCATCACCTGAGTTGAAAAATTTCAAGTAACACCTTTCCCAATATGGCAAGCCACGAGTTCAACTTAACACTGAACATACAATACAATTATCTCTACAAATTTTGTTAAAAAAAACATGACATTCAGATATTGAAGTCTTCAAATTTCCAGTAAACCTCTCTGGAACAGAGCTGGAATAAGGAATCATCTTTGTGGTTCAGCTCATAAAAGTTAAATCTAGAATTTCCAGCATAAGAGGATGAGGTGTTGGTCCTATTTGTTTAAATGTAGACTAGTCCAGACCAGTCCCTTTTTTGAGAATACAAGTGTTATCTCACTCTACTTGTCTTATCTTTAGATCTACCTTTTTTTTTGCACATTAATAATCAGAATGGTAAATCCCCCTCATTAAATTTAGTTTTTAATTGAAGTAACCCTTCATAAATAAAACATTGCCATAAAATTTTGACAGTGAAGAAGAAGAGTAATCACTTTAATCTGAAGTGAATACTATTATAAAGACTTTGGTCATATCAGGTCACTGGGGGTTCAGCCTCACTCAATTCTCTTTCTGACATTCTCACCCCTAGGACTACATCACATTCCACATTATCTCCACATTCTATACCCTTATCTTCAAAATTCTACACTTAAAATTCCCAGTTCACATTTTTAAGTAAACAATAGACTATCAGAGATGAGTGATAAAAATGCCATGGGGAGTACAATTCCACTCAGACATTTCAATTCAGAGAATTTTCTCAGATCTTTTGTTCATCTGAGATCCACCTCAAATCAGACAAAAGTGGCACCAAGTGTATAGAAAGTAAAGATATACTTTTCATAATTTCTGACACTTATCAAACGGCAAAGATAAGATATCTTCAGATTTCAAAGTTGGGTAGAGTTCTATGGTTTTATATCCTTTTTAAAACACTTTGAAGTGCAAGGGATACGAATTTTTCTGATTCAATTGTTTGACAATATTACGTTTTCAGCACATCAGAAAGTTGAAGTAATTGTTTGATAATATTGCATTTTCTTTGTACATGACAAAGGTTGATTGTTATGATAATCTTGCTTCAAGCTATTTTCAAGACATTATTTTTGAAAATGCAATAATGATAGGCCGAATTCAATATACAATATACAGTATTTTATTTAAGGATAAAAAAAGTATTTGAATATTGAAGTTATGAACTGTGTATGGATTAAAATGTATGAAGATCAATATCTGACTATTGACACCTGGCTCTAGGAATGACAAGAATGTTACAATAATATTATACTTATATTGTCTAGACAAACACAATGATACTAGTTCAATATGTTAAACACTTTCATTCTATTTATTTACTGCTTATACTTTTAAGAATTTTTATCCATCATCAGAAATAGATACATGACATCAGAAATAGATACATGATGTGTCAAGAGCAATAATTTAACCTAACATCAATACAGATGTGGCTGCAAATGCTGTTTTTAAAGTAGGCACTCATGCAAAAAAAGATATATCTCTATTAACATTTGAGTAAGTTAGCATCACATAACAAGCTATTTGTGTGAATAAAATGTAACAAGCGAACTATTCAATGTAAGGCTATTGGCACAGGGCACATCTATTCATGATCTATCAAAGAATTATCCCTACAAGTTTAATAAGTGACAGGGTAGAAAGGGACCAGCTGTGTCTAATCAACAACAACAAAAAAGATTCAGAAAGCAAGATTCAAATTTTTATTTTTTAAAAATCTTAATCTTTCTAAAAATGAGTCATACATGTTAATTTCAAAATGCACTTGAAATAAATGAAGCTCTTATTGTGAATAAAATCAATTTTCAGCCACAGATGTATTCAAATTCTGTGTTCATAAACTCACAAACTATTTATTTCCTTTGAATATCATCTTAAAATTTTTTCCAACATCAATATTCAATTTCCAGACGTGCATTTTAATTCTTGGAATAATTCAATAACAGACAATTCAAAAGAGCATTTTTTGAAAATATAATGATTTTCTTCAAGAAATATATTGATTTTCTACAATGGAAGAAATTTTTTTCAAAAATCAATTGAAAACATTGTTTATATTTCATTATAATGTAAAATATTTTCTTTTTTTTTGTATTGTCTACTACTTTTTATTTGGAAAAAGTAATTTTTAATGAAGTAATCTTTATCAATATAAAAATACTCTACAATTTTCATTATTTCAAAATAAGGGACTTAATTCTTCCCATGAAAGGAACTTAACCCACAAGTGATAAATTGGTTTAGTACTCAAGTGCAACTGTTGTGCAAGTACACCACTGTGCAGCTCAATAATATTGGAGAACAAAATTGGTTGTATTACAACAACATGTGGGTATTGATCATGCATGTTGATTCATGGACATGCCTGACAGCACATGCCACACTCTGTATTGTCTCCCTTGTTTCTTCCACAATAGGCACATGTCTTTATATCATGGCTTTGTTTACTCATATTTCATTATTCATACACATTTATATAGTGACTAATTCCAATGTAACAGACCCAACTAATCTTCTTCTTCAATTCAACATCCTTCCAAATACAAATATACCCAATAGTTAGATATAAAAAATGGTGACTAATTCCTCTGTAGACCAGGCTACTTTGTTCTTCCTTGTTTCAGTTTCAGTTTCCCTTCATACAAAGCACAGTTGTGTGGACAACAAGGAAATACATTGCAATGACAACAGATACCTATAATAACTCAATGAGTCAGAAGTTAAAAACGCAATATATCTGGCAAAAATTTCCTGGTTTCAGAAGTCACGCAGTTAACAAGACATGGTCGTGATGATTATTACATCATAAATAAATGAATCTCCATGTTTTCATCCAGCAGCAAATCAATAATTGCGTAACAATAGCAACATAATGACAGGGTTATACATCGGTATAACAACCATTGTTTTATCTGCATAAATAATTAGACAAGCACTGTTGGTTTACTGTCTCCTATGAGTCCTGTTATATCAAGATTGTAGAGGTGGGGAGATTATCAGGGCTTTTCAAGCGTATTCATTACTCCTTTCACTTTTTTTTGCATTTCTGATAATTCATATTTTAGAACTACAATTCTACTATGCTACTGATGACTAGTAAATATGAGGCAGCAAGCATGGCAAGATTTCTTGTGTTTATCTCAGAGCATTATGACAAATACAGCATTTGAATATATCAAATCCTTGCATTGATCAGGATGTATTGAATTCAATTAATTAAACAATCAGTACAACACAAAGTAATATATATGCATCAAGTATCAGCATATTGTAAACTCAATTTGCAACATGATATCCTATATATTGTTCATGTATTGACGTCAATAATCGACTGTCTTGAAGCGGAACTACATGCAAATCCCCGGAACTTGCAATCAATACTGCCTGATATTATGACATCAGCTTTTATGCTGACTAATGCTATTTTTCTCAATTAATCAAGTTTATAATGAGAAGGTCAACGAATGCAATATGTGAAGGTCACAATGCAATTTGATACTAAATATATTGTCAATTAGTTTTTATATGATACCAACTAATTGCAAGACAGTTTAATTGATTGGTATTCAGATTTCCTGGGATCTATCATAGATATATAATATATATTTCATAGCTTGATTCTATGATGTCAAACTGAAGCATTTCCCACCTATCAATCAACTAATAACAACACATTTGGAAATATACCCTTCTGGATTGCCTGTGCAAATCTGGTAGCAATAGAATGAATCACAATCAAAAATTGCCTTTATGCAACAACTACCGTCTGAATACAAAATATGAATGTATACCATATTGCTACTTGTAAGTGATGCTGGTCACTGAAGTGAAAGACAATTAACCGAGGCCCTGTGTAGTACAGGGGCTATGTATCCTTTGACAGTGATAATTGAATACAGTGAGACAATGCTCTGTCCTAGACAAAATTCCCTCATGTCATACCGCATTGTGTTGCCAGTCTTCATTAGTCAATCAGATGGAGAAAAAAAGGACGCATAACTCCATTATTTCCCCTTGCCACAGAGTTAGCTGTATCCCAACATTGCTAAAAATGTCACAATGAACCAAATGCTAGGAATTTGAGTACACAGTGGAAGTAAAATGACCCTGGAATATCAGTTGACACCCTTACTGTCATTGATGTATGTTAAAATAACTTAAACATGAAATAAACAATGTAAAATAATAACCCCAGGTGTGTAGTGTTACCAAGGTTATCATTCACTCTATTTAACCTCTAACCCTTTGTTATCAAAGTACCAAGTTCTAGTTTTTCAAAAAGAATTGTGACAAATATTTTCAGAATATAATCAGAATAGTAGTGCTTTTTAGAAAAGACAAAGGTCTA